AATGTTGCATTACTTTTACTTTTTTTGGTACCTTCCTGTAAACCATTTACATTCCAAGTTGCTATTTGAAATGTGTTTGGAAGGGTTTTTATGGAGTTTTCCGTTTTATTATCCATAATCTATGGCGTAGTCCAAGGAAGCCTCAAAGAAGAACCCGACGAGATCACTCCAGCTATACTTAAGGAAAGCTAAGGCATAAAACACACTTACATGACCCTCCAACCACACACACATCCACACATACACACACACAGACAAACAAACATTAACCCCCTGATTTTCCCATATAAGAGCATGCTTTGCAAGAGCTATAACCCCTACTCACTTTGTTGCATGTTAACACCTTGGCTACTGTCTCAATTATAGTCCATCAATTTTCTAACTCAATGCCTGTAGGCTAAACACTTTTATTACAATGGGTCCTATTGAGGTCTCTTACCGACTGCTGTCTTCTTGGTCTCATTCATCTGTAGACAAGCTTCCCCCCTTAATTGTTGGGTATTTTTGTTTCAATTCCTTTTGGCCTCTTCCAGTGTCCCGAAGTTCACCACCGTTTCTCCGTCATCCACACAGAGAGTAGCTGGGCCTCGGAAAAATGTCTTAATCTTCTGTTGGTGTAGCTGCTCTCTCAGCGGCCAAAACGCAGCTCTCCTCACTTGAAATTGCGCTGACATGTCCGGAACCACTCTGAAGTCGTATCCATCTGATTTCTTCTTGGACTCCTTCAGGATTTCAAGTTTCTTCTGGAAATGATGCAGTTGAAGGTAATTGCTCGAGGGTGTTTGTGCGTCTCTTTCCTTGACCCGACGCGCTGAGCTCTTTCAAAGTCCTCCTTTTTTAAATCCAGGCTACATTTGTCCTCAAAAATGTCAATCAAAAAGGGGATCATTTGAGAATCTTTCTCCGCGTCTTCTGGTACATTCAGGAGTCACAGATTATTTTGCCGGTTTCGATTTTCGAGCTGGTCGCTGTACTCCATAGCCAGGTCTGCGCTTCAATGTCGACTTCATTGTCAGTTTTTCCGGTCAGCGTCTCCACGTTTTTATCCAGTGAGTTTACTCTCAGTAACATAGTGTCCAACAGTTGTTTCGTTGAAGTGTAACTCTCCAGTATTTTGTCCAATTTCGCATCCATCTCGTCAAGTCTAGTATTCATACTTGTGGTGATTATATGATTGTAACTAGTTGTTTGATTAATAATGAGTATGAATGCATAACAGTAAGTTAGGAACTATGGAAAATAATGTCAAAAGGTTAAACATGTTGACTAAGTTGGTGAGAAGGCACATATTACAACATTACACCAAAAAGGGAGTTGTGTGGCACAAACAGGATGTATCTGGTGAGGAGCAAAAGGGGAAGCTGTACGATGAACAGGACATACCCCGGGAGACACGGGGGATAAAAGACGCTGCACAGAGAGGATCGTGGTTAGTCCTCGGCCAGCTCTCGGGTTCAGGGCATGCTGATCGATCGACCAGAGTTGTAACTGTAACAGCGGTTTGCACACTTAAGAGATTAATAGAGATCAGAGAGACAAAGGGTGCACATAGACATACAAGGCAGCCTTTTCCGCGCAAGTGCTAACTCCCTAGTACCAGAGGCCTCTACCTCTGGGAAAAAGAAGGCAAAAGAAAAACATCTCAACAAGAGACCGAAAAACTGAAGCATGAGGTGGGAGCCAAAGAAAGGCAAAGAAACCCCCTCAAGAGCCCGGGGAAGACGACCACATTCCACTTCTGAACCCAGTGCCCCTGGAGACGTGCAAGATTGCCGTACAGGCAGGGTTCAGCACCTAACATTGGATTGGGAGCCCTTGGGATATCAACGGTGAGACCTGGCAGGGTAATACCCTCAGGCTAAAGGATCGGACCCTTTTAATGGAGAGCTGGTCCAGTACCACCTATACGGGGGTAACTCGGGATCTAACAATATCCAGTTCATACCTATTGAAAGATACTGCACTATTTCACGTTTTTCATCTGCAGAAAGAGCTTTCTTTCCCCCATATTGCATGAAGCCTGTGACTTGCTTAATAATGTGGAACAACATCCTTAAGTAGTTTCCCATTAATTTAAATAACAACAGTAGCAACAACTACACTAATAGTAGTGACTGATGATGATGAACATGAGGAAGATGAGGAAGATGATAACGACGACGACAACAACAATGGGGGGAAAATGAGCAGTGATAGTAGTATCAATAGTATATGTAGTAATAGTAGTAATAAAAATAATAACAATAATATCAGTGATATTAGCAATGGGAGTCAATGGCAGGAGGCTCCACCAGGATCTATGAGAACCTGCGAGAAGAGAAAGCACAAGAACTCTGGGGAAGAAGTGAAGTTAGTAACATGCATTAATGGAACATGAATGTGTGCAGAAAGAGAGAGGGAGGAAGAGAGGAGCTCAGTGCATCATGGGAAATCCGTGCTACAAACCACTGAAGAGGCACAGCTTGTGACTCTGAGCACCAGTTCTCGAACACACGCCACTCATATAACGTCCTAGTTCAAGAGGCCCTGGCGCACTAAATAGTGTCAATAACACTATGAGGGAGTCCAGCTATATTCAAGTTGAACCACTCACAGGCCAAGCCCATAGAGCTAGCCTCTCTGGGTGGAGGTGGAATATTCCCCCCCTTGCCTGCGACAGCAGGTCCCTGCGAAGTGGTAACGGCCACAGCAGGCCGGACAGAAGTTGAAAGATCTCCGCTAGCCAGTGCTTCCCTGGCCAACGTGGAGCTATCAGGATCATGCACACACCTTCTCCCTCACTCTGGCCAGAGTTGGCCAGCAGTTCCAGACAATTTATGTGGGTAGAATGCATGTGAAGGTCCCATCTCCCATTCACTGTTCTCCCCTCATCAATGGCACCCCAGCCCACCAGAGAGGCGTGTGTGGTGATCACTTTCCTTGCCAGAACAGGTCCCATGGTAACACCTTGAGTCAGGAAACCTGGGCTTTTTCACTGGCGAAATGCTAGAGAGCAGTCCGCTGAAACCCTCACCCGACAGTGGCCATTGTGGTAAGGATTCTGGACGGCTCTCATATCCAGCGTCCCAGTGGTATGGCCACTACATAGGAGGCCATCAGGCCCAACAGCCTCTAGCATTGTTTGAGGGTAATCGCGTTTCCCCTGCGTAACAGTGCTAGGCTTTTCAGCATAGTATCCACTCTCTCTGTGGATAAAAATGCCTTTTCGGGACCAGGAAATACCTTGAGTAGAAGCCGCTGTAGGACTCCTCTGGAGGGACAACTCTTATAGCTTCTTTCTCTCTCAAGGTGGAAATTTCTTCAGAGAGAATAATGGAGGACTCACCCGGATCATGAGAGTAGATTATTTCTATGAACTGTGGTGGAGCGATATTGAATTGAAGCCTGTAGCACTTCTCTATTGTTTTTAACATCCAGTTTGACCTGGTGCAGGCAGCCCAGTTCTCCAGGTGCAGAGTGTGACATGTTTATGGAGCCTATGCCCAAATATGTGGTTTTAGGTATGGTTTATCATGAAGCCACCACAGAAAGAAGAGACCTGTCGGCCTTCAATTTTGCCCACAACAGTGTGGAATATCTAGCCCTTTGTCAGGACGGTAGACAGGTCTTGGCTAAGGCTTTCCAGCCTTAAATAACTTCCCCTTTTAAATTCTATGCCCTGTTGCTCTTGGATAAGTTCTTCATGATGTACTTGGTATTCTTGCGGTCGCGTGGGGGAAGGAAACCTCACTCATTGTGTCATAGGGGGTTGGTCCGTTCCGTTTCAGGAAGATGATCATCATGCGGTTCAGTTTGCGGTCCAATCCTCTTGCCAGTGGGTATTACCCTACCAGGTTTCAGAAGAGGACTGTTTAAGCTGGTGGTGAGGAGACACGCCTAGCTTCTAACTGCCTTCATCCGGACGCCTACCCTGCTCACTCTAGTGCAGCACCTGACTGAATAGCCCCAGAGTCAAATACCACACTGGCCACGTCCGTTCATGGCAGCTCTCCTCTTATTGATCTGTGCACTTGGTAGTTGCTAGGATTATTTTTAGTGGCTTTTACAGTAAGCCGGAAGGGTCTGTTTAATTTTACTTTGGCTAGAGTAACCTGTTAGAACCTTCAAGATGTTTACCACACTACCTGATAATTATTGCGTGTAGAGATGACATGAATCCAATGTCCACAATTTATTCTTTAACTTCAGTTGTTATATTTTATTGCAAGATTTAGTAAGGGCTAGCATACAACGTTTATTGATTCAAAATAGATTATTCATATTCACTGATACAGATTAACTTCAAATCTGATATTAAAAATTTAATTAAATTTCAAACCCTGATGAGAAGGCTGTAGCTGAAAGGTTAAATATGTAATTTGAAGAAAAAGGGGGAAGGGGTGTACGGCCAATACAGTCCTTCCTAGCCTGCCGTTCTGTTGGTTGCTGTTGAAACTCCCGACCTAATCCAAAGTCCGCAAAGTCTCTGACCAGATCAGTCTCTGTTGGCAGGGTGAACAAAAGAGTGATCCTTGGAAATCAATTGGAATCCTAAAGCTGGGTGGAAATTGTAAAATTTTTGTTGCTCGACACTCTCATCTCGGCTGTAGGTTGTTGGATTCCTCTTTCTGCGATGTTGGGCTGTTCGTTTGCTCCGTCTTTCGTGTTGAAGTTTTAAGTTCAAAGATGCAATGCTCCAATGTGGTCGATCGATCAGCAAGTCTTGAACCCGAGAGCTGGCCGAGGACTAACCACGATCCCCCCTGTGTAGTCTTTATCCCCCTGGTCCCAGGGTGTTGTCCGGTTTGTGCCGCACAACTTCCCCTTTCTCTCCGCACTAGGTATGTGTGGACATGTCTGATTGCTATACGTGCCTTCTCACCACGTTACTCATTATTTCAACATGATTTGCCCTTCGAGCGTTACTTACCATAGTTCTAATTTACTGTTATACATTTCATATTTAGCGCGGTACAAACACTCAAAATATATATATATTTTTTTAAGTTTCAGCGACTTACCTGATGCTCTATTGCTAGTGCTGGCTGATTCTCTTAAGGGGGGGATTTCAGGGTATGTATTCGGATCGGGGTTAGGACGTTTAGGACGCCGCAAGCGGTGAATGAGTGGAGAGGCCTCTTCCTCTGCGATGTCATCTATCAACCTGTTGGATGCAGAAGGGTCTGGTCCGTGTATCTTTTGGTCATTGGATTTTCCTTTCAGAAATGGGTATTAAAAAACAGAAAACGAATGGTTATTTGATTTTCGTTTTAAAATACAAAAATTAAAATTGAAATACAAGGCGTTTTCCTTTTTCATGGTCAAAAAGGGATGAGCAAAATTTTAAAAATTATTCGATTTCCATTTTCTATTTCATATAACAAAAAAAAAAATCACTAGAAAACAGAAAAAGAAAGAAGGCCTGTTTTTTCATATTCTGAGACCAGATGTTGTCATTTTCAGGACGGTGCTGTGTAGAAGAAACAGTAGGTTAGTAGACTGCAGTCAAGCCAGCCGTTACTCCGATCTTTGTGGTCAAATCAGCCGCACTTAAATTTCGAGTGTAAGCATTTCCAGCATTATGGTTAATGTGGAGAAATGTATTTACTTCCGGTTTTCAAATTAAAGGTATTTAGAACAGTAAGCTATAATTCGAACCTACATTTAAAATGAAATATGTTACATTAAAGTGTTTCATGCGCCTCTGATGAATAAAAAACACAGTAAAGATATCAAGTATCTTTACTGCACCAGTGTGGAGAAATTCAAAAATAAAAGCCTAATATTTATGCCTCCGGAGATTGCATATTTGACCATATTTGAGGTACTGTAAAAACATATTGCTCTGTGTTTCCTGGCTACTGACTTTTACACATATGAAACTACAAGCTTACTTAATATCAAGCATTTTTACTGCACCAATTTGGAAAAATTCAACAAAAAAAGTCCCATATTTGTACCTCCAAGAGGCATATTTTCATATATTTGAGCTACTGTAAAAACACTTTGCTCAATAATTCCTGGCTATGGATGGTATATTTGACTTCTGCACATCTAAGACTACAAGTATGCTTAATATCAAGCATTTATACTGTACCAATTTGGAGAAATTCAACAATATAAGTCCATGTTTGTACCTCCAAGTGGTATTTTCATATATTTGAGCTACCTTAAAAACATATTGCTCAATAATTCCTGGCTATGGATGGTATATCTTACTTCTACACATCTTAGACTACAAGCATGCTTAATATCAAGCATTTTTACAGCACCAATTTGGAGAAATTTAAGAATAAAAGTCCCATATTTATACCTCCAGATTCCATATTTTCTTATATTTGAGCTACTGTAAAAACATATTGCTCAATATTTCCAGGATATGGGTGAAGCATTTTCATTATACTTCAATAATGATGCAGAAATCATGACAACATTTCACACAAATGTTTAATAATCTTATGAAAAAATGATAATATAAACACTAAAGACTAAACACAAAATCCTACACAATTCTAATTTGTTTACTTTTCACACAAGATGCAATTCCAGTCCACATTCTTCTTATTTTTCCAGCTCTGCTGTGTCCATTTGTAGGCACTGATTGTGGAACCACCTGCAACAGCTGTCACACTGAATCTGTCAAAGGGAAAAATAATTAGTTTTAACTTCAAAACACCATTGTACCTACTGTCTCTTCCTCATATATTATTTTTGATTTTGATTTGATGATTACGGCATCATGAAGATCAGATCACATTTCATGACAAATTTATTCAGAAAACCATGAAATTCCAAAAGGTTCACATACTTTTTCTTGCCACTGTATATAATTAATATAGCAGTATTTACCTGAAGAAAACGTCACAGAAAGCTGTAATCCTGATTGTTGATGTTGTTCATCTCTCCGTGAGTTAGACTCCCGCTCTAACAAGTCCGGTAGCAAAGTTTTTGGTTTAGGAGCAGTTATTGAATTAATATTCGGGGTAGAAATGCAACTAAACTCAGTAGCAGTGAAGAGCTACCTACCAAAACACCGGCAATGCTGAGGCAGAAGTGGGAGGGGCCGTAGCGTAAAATATGACTCCTTTAAATATGACAGTTAATATTTTTTTCTGCATTTCTTCAGCATCCCAGTCAACCCTGACAGTCAGTAGCGGTCAGTAGTGGTCAGCAGTGGTCAGCATTCTCCTTCAAAAGCAAGATGTTAACCGTTAGCCATTTATGCAATCTTTAATGCAGCATTAAAGAAATATTTTGAATCACTCAATCTAACAGCCATACAGCTAGCTTATCTAAACTGCAGCTTCTCTCTGAAAAGGTCATTTTTCTGGGTCATGTGATCACAGCAGAGAGCAAAACCCTCTCACCCAAACAAATTGAAGCAATTCAGACCATTCCACGGCCTGAAACAAAGAAACAGGTAATGTTTTTGGGAATGACATCCTACTGCAGACAGAGGATCCCAAATTGTGCTGAAATTGAGGCACCATTGGCATCAATGCATGATGGGAAAGGCCTTGCTGCAAAAGGCAAAGTCCAATGGACACCATGCCTATGTCAGAGGACACTCCTCTGACATAGGCCTACTAGACTGTAACAAGACATACACACAGACTGTTGACAAACAGGGATTGGTTGACTTCAGAACTAATCCAGGACCATGGGGGATGACAAAGACCCGTAACATACCTCTCAACAAAACTTGACTCTGTAGCAGCAAGACCTCCCAACTGCCATAGAGCAGTGGCAGCTGCCGAAAAGGCTGTGATAGCATTACGTGACATGTCTACTTGAACAAAAAATTCAAATTTTTCAAAAGCAATGTAATAAGATACTATATTGTTTTATTTTTTATTTTATTTGACTCTGCTATTTTTCTCCAAACTCCAGGTGATGGACAGCTGCATAAAGGTGTTGTAACCCAAACAAATTGCTATCTGAAAATGTAAAAAAAACTAGTGCTGACGTAGCTGCAAAGGCCGCAGCCGAACAATGTATTGCTTTGACTAACTTACCATTAACACCTACAGTTAATTTGCAGGAATTGCAGGCAACAGAGAAACTCCAGAGGAGAAGTGTGGCAAGTGCCATTTACCAAAATATCTATTTCCCTACTTGTGTCAACTAATCATAGGTTGACACGTGAAGGATCAAGTGTCAAAAGGGGTATAATGAGGGAAATACAGAAATATAGTTTCACAAAGGTTCTCTAATTTCTCCCATAAATTTTGCCAAAGCTGTGTTATTTGTGTATGTCTGACAAACTGATTTCATTGAACTAACACCTAGTAGGGGAAAGAAATATTGCCTCATCATTGTTGATATGTTTTTAAGATGCAACAGCAGTAGCAAAGGCCCTAATCAAAGAAAAAATGCAAAAATCAAGGGATAATCTTTCATAAGTTCAGCACTGAAAAGTTTTTTTTTTTTTTTTTTTGCAAAATGTTTGGACTTTATTGTTGCACTCATCCCCAATAACACTGCTCCTGATGGTAGCATCACTAAAGCCTTAGCTGGACTCACATCTCTGTCTGAAAACGCAGGCATAGATGATCCCGTCTCAGGGTGGATAGAATCCATGTTTGGCAAATACAAGGCCCTGATCACATCCCTGCTTATCTCATTGGCCACATTCACAGCAATCTTTGTTTGCTGTGGATGCTGTTACATCCTGTTGTACATTAAGTAGCGATGATGTGAAGATGTGTTGAAGAGAAGTCCGCTGACACCGTCTTGATTGTATATAAAGGTTTATTACAAAATGTCCAGCATCAATACAAGCACCGCGGAGCTTGGAGAGCATCCAGCCAAAACGAACAGCTCTGTCTATTATGCATCGGACATAGGTTTTTATAGGTCCGTTATTTACTCCAGAAGATAGTAAAGCAACATCTGGTTCTAATACAGATATGCAAGGTAAAAAGGGAAATCAGGGATTGGGGGTTTCAAGGGAGAGGTCAAGAGGCCATCGAGAGGCCCCTAACGTAAACATTCAAGAGTAAGAATTATGAACTACCTCATGAACTACTGATGTTGACAAAAAACTTTTAACCCTTCAGACACCACAATTCCCTGTCTTAGGACTTTAGTTAACAGACTAAATACCACTGCCCTCTCCGAGGAAAAGAATCCTTCCTCTCTGCCATATCAAATACCCCTATTGGCTGCAATAGATGGTATAGAGATTCAGCTCTAGAGGATGTCGTTGACTGGAAAAAGGAAGTTGAGGACCCTGTCATTTAGAGTCACACTTATAAAGTGCAAAAGGGAAGAGTGACAATTTTCCTGCCATTTCTACTTTTTACACTCCTCCATTTTTAACTTTTTCTATTTTTATGTACTTTTTTTAAGATCAATTGTATGTTTAAGTTCACACCTATAAGGGTGAAAGGAGGGACTGTTAGGGCTTAGTCATTTCAATATATTTTAATACACATAGATGTGAAAGCCTGTATTCGTTGAAGCTATTTCACACAAAGATAAAAAACACAGACACATATTCTCATCTCTGCTTGTGAGCTACACTAGCTACAAACACACCTGGCCATGGGAGGAAGAATGGGTTTCTCCAAGGTCGGAAGCACCCAGTTCTGACCGTCACTCTAGTTTCATAAATGATATTATAAGGGAGGAGAAGCAGGGTGGAATTACTAATTTTTCTTTAAGGGCGCTGTCTCCTCAGAATTGGTTGGGTCGTGTGCCAAGAGGCTGGGACCAGCCAGTGCACCAACAAGGAAGCACCAAGTCTAAACCACGGTTGTTTCCCATCATATAGTCCACTAATCACATTGCTTACTATAATCAAACATAACCTCATGACTCTTTTTGAGGCGAGGAAAGACAGAGTAACAGCACTCCGCTGACTGTGGCTTCTCAATCCAACAAGATCCTTGTAGAAGTATTATTTGAATTAGAGATGTTCCGATACCATTTTTTCCCTCCCGATACCGATTCCGATACCCGTGCTGTGGGTATCGGCCGATACCGAGTACCGATACCATTACCAGTGTGTTAAAAAACAAAGAAAAAAATCATACTACGTCTGCATGACTGTGATACAGGGGCGGACTGGGACAATAATTCAGGCCGGGAATTTTGATACCATCCCAGGCCACCACCACCCGTGTTGTCACCACTAGTGTTTAATGTCTGACCTGCTCCCTCACTGACAATCATGTCAGTTATTTTACAGCACTTCGATGCATCTGTGGCCAGTGCTTTTAGTTTTTTAAGCCTCTCCCTCTCTGCTCCACCTTTCCTCTTGGGCTGTCGATCTCGCTCCATTTTTCAAGCATGTAGAACTACAGGTGAGGGAGGAGGGGGGCCTGGGTGCACCTTGGTGTGTGTGTGTGCCTGCAGTGCTGTGACAGAGAGCCTCAGACAAAGAGAGGAGGGGGTGTGTTTGTGCCCAACGTTGCTGCTCAGTCTGCGTGAGCTTCAGCGAGGCAGATACCCTAATGAGCCGCACGACGGGTTGTTTATTTGAAAATCAAGCGCGACCCGAACCGAGCCTTTGTTGCTGGTGTTGAAATTTGCAACACTCGTGCCACCCCTCAAAGTTGCTTCTTTGCATATGTTGCATGTCGCCGTCTTACTGGTGGGAACATCCACTGTAAAGTACTGCCAAACCACCGACATGATGCGCTAACATTAGCTCCTTTTAACAGGTGTCAGGCGTCAGGTGATCAATTCTTCTTCGCCCCTCTAAAACAGCAGCTGCCGATGGCAGCACAGCGCAACTTTTTTAAGAGCGGCGGAGAAGAACTGTGTCAGAGCTAATGGAGCTAACCAGTAAATAGATTCCTATTTCTAATAAATTATGTGGTATCGGATCCAGTGGCGTGCACAGACTTTTTGAAGGGCAGAGGCGGAAAAAGGGCACATATAGCGCGTCCTCACCACTGTAGAGGGCACTTTAGACACGTTTTATTTGTTATACAAATGGCACATTATATAGCCTTAAAACAGACTAACTAGACAGACTACTCAGGTTAGTTTGCTGTTAGGATCAGCATCCACGAGAACTGTGTGGATTTCAAAGTTCTGGGGTCTTCCCCCAGAACATTTTCAATTAAGTAGATGCCATTTCCTGTATTCTAGTGGATTTTAATACCATATTAGCACCAGATAATCCAAACTGGTTCTGTGAGATATAGTTCTGGCTCAATATAGATCAACAAAGGGCCCAACATAAAAGTCATTGCAACAGTAATGTGTCATAGTATTTCTTGGTCCTAATAGTCTTCTGGAGTTTAATGTCTTTTCTTCACCCAAGAGGGCTCTGTGATAAAATCACACAGGGAACAATACACATTTAAACTATTTATTTGACAACTCAAAAGAAACAAACTATGATGAAGCATGAGAGAAGTGCTACTCCATTGACGCCTCCAAAATCATTGGTCTCCCCACTCCCAACCTCTCAGACCTGAACAATATAGACATTACACGTAGAGCACACAGTATAGCACACGACCCTAGCCACCCCCTCAACTTGTCTTCGAACTGCTGCCATCCCGACGCAGATACAGGACAGTGGCCTGTAAACGTGCTCGCTATGGCAGGAGCTTTGTACCTTCTGCCATAGCATCTTTAAACAATGCATCCCGTTAACAGACATGAGTTGGTGTACAAGACAGGGTGTGGTAAATGTGCTAAATGTACTGTATTAAGTGTTTACTCTTGTTGTTATGTTGCAGTGTTCATATGTGTTTTTCTCCGTATCTATGTATGCATGTACAGACTGCGGTGACAAATTTCCTGTGAAGGACAATAAGGTATATTATAAAGTATATTATTATTGCTGCAGATGGCAGGGATGAATCAAGTCTCAAGTCTTTGTGCCCATATGTGGCAAGTGGAACTAAAGTAAAATTCTTCATTTGGCCATCTGTTTGTATATGTCAATGACCTTGTTCTGGTCTTTGAGGATTGACCCAGTAGGTGTTGTCATTCTTTCCCTTGAATCTTCGGTGTAGCTCATGGGACAGCCTGTCAGGGAAGGAAAAGAACACCTTTCCCCGGTAGTGCTCTTCCAAGTCCTGGGCTTGGTAATCCTCTGTTGCTGATTTAGAGCTATACTTGTACTTTTGAGGTACCTTCCGGCGTCTGGCTTGTCCAGGTATTTCTTCTGGCACCTCAATGCCTGCTGCCTCGGCTTGCCTTTTTGCTTTTGTATAAAGGACCTCGAACTCCTCATCTGTCCTCATTGCCTTTATTCTTTGTATGACCCTTTCGATGATGGTGTATGATGCTGATAAGTCAAGGTTCTTTCTCTGAAGCGTAGCAGATGCAATGGCAGTCTCATTAAAGATGGGTGTGGTGATCTCCATGCACAGGATAAATTCAAAATCTATACTGCGCAGGAGCATCTGGGCATCACCTGCTGCAGAGTCTGGTGGGTCACTGTCAGCCATGTTCTGAAGAAGCTTCACCACTGCAGAAAGGACCTTTTTCAGGGATCTCAGAGCATCTTCTCTGCATGCCCACCTTGTGTCAGACAGCCTTTTCAGTTCACAGACTCTTTGACCCAGGTACATGGTTTGTTGGAGTGTCACAAATGCAGCATGGCGTTTTGGGGATCTGGCTAGGAAGGTGTAGAGACTCTCAACTAGATTGAAAAAACTAACAAAGGGCTGACTTGATTTGGCACTCTCCACCAAGACGAGGTTGAGACAGTGGGCATGGCAGTGCACGTATAAAGCTTTCTTGTTGTGGCTTTGAATTCGTGACTGCAGGCCGCTGTATCCTCCACTCATGTTAGCCTTGGTCCCTGATGTCTTCCACTTTTAATCCATTCTCCTCAAGGACTGTCATCACAACATCCTCCAATTCCTTTGCTGTCGTTCCGCTCACATCACACACCTGTAAAAATCTCTCCTTGATTTCCATTCGATGGACAAAACGACAACAAAGGACACTTGCTCAACATGAGAAACATCTGTTGTCTCATCCAAGAGAATGGAGAATGTTTTTGACTCATCCATCTCTTTGAGAATTTCTCCTCTGACATAGGTAGCAAGGGCACTGATTATGTCATTCTGTCCTGTTGGACAACAGTGATACATGGGCTGTTTTCTGTTTTGAATGGATTTTGTTGATGTGATCAAGATGCATTTTGATGGTGGAGTCATATTTTGAAAGTAGCTGTACAAGCTCAAGGAAATTTCCTTTGTTCAGAGATGTATTACTTTCATTCTGACCCCTGAATGCTCCATTTTGTCGTGCAAGATACAGTGTAATGTCTATCAGTTTTCTCATTATCTCCCTGTTTCGTTTTCGTTCTTCCCCTCTTCTGGCTTCGCCTTCCATGTCTGCCCTTTTGAAAGCTTCTTCCAGTGGTCTCTGCTTAAAGTTGCTCCACCTTACCATGCTTACCATATGTGCTTCTGTTTTTTATGCTCCTTAATTTTTTCTGTGCCTTTTTTCCAGTTGTCAACTCCCACCGTTCTCCAAGCTACTTTACTCTCATACTTTTTCTCTTTCATGAAAAGTCGGCAACTAAAACAAAACATGGCATCACTTTCCACAGAATATTCTAGCCAGGGATTGTCTTGATACCACTCTCTGTGGAATGAACGCCCCTCAGTTTTTGGGAAACCTTCAACTGGCTGACAAGGTCCAATGGAGCAACAAAACTCAACAAATCTGTTAGAGTGATCTATGCTGTGCTTTTGAACATGTGCTGGATCAGTGGGATGTTTTAATGAAGATATGTTTGCATAATTGTTATTTGTTGTTGTATCATCATCTGTTTTCTCTTGTATGTCTTCCACTTCATCATCACTTCTCTCCATATCACTGTCGTCAGTCTTCTCTCTGTCTTCATCATCACCATTTCCCCCCATATCACCCTCATGTCCCTTCTCTCTGTCTTCATCATCACCATTTCCCCCCATATCACCCTCATGTCCCTTCTCTCTGTCTTCATCATCACCATTTCCCCCCATATCACCCTCATTTCCCTTCTCTCTGTCTTCGTCATCACCATTTCCCTCCATATCATCCTCATTTCCCTTCTCTCTGTCTTCATCATCACCATTTCCCTCCATATCAATATCTGTCTGTTCTGTGTCTTTAACTTCTTCCTCCCTGATTTCATCATCATTTTCCTCCTGAATATTTTCATCTTCTTTATCCTCTATCTGCCTTGTATCCCTCGGCTCTCTGGTATCTCCATCATCACTTTCTGTATTGTCTTTATCTAAGATAGAGCAAATAATAGTATTATACCAGTTGAATGTAATTGTACTGTGTACTGTATTGTATGATAGTGGCCCAAAATGTATTATCAAATAGTAGGCCAATGCCGTAGAGCATTACTTAACAATCTTGGCTTGATTGGAGGAGAAAGGTCTATGGTTGGTCAATTCAAATGCTGGTGAATTTAAACCTTGAGAACCATTTTTCTGTACAAATTAAGCATTCTTGATCATGTTAGCATCAAATTCTTTGTGATAATCCAAACTGGCTCTGTGTCATACGATATTAACAGTGGGGAGTAGCCTATAAGCCTACACATACCTCTATCATTGATCTCCTCCTTTGTTTCCTACGATCCAATCTTTCAAAGACAAGGTGCCTTTTGCAGAAGTTTCCAGCTGCTTTTTAACGACTTTCTGTTTTCTTTCTTTCCTGGGCATTCTGAATCTGTAATCATAGAATATGCAGGGTTTCCCCCCCAAAAATTGTTAGACCCAGGGGCAAGTATGCTTTAACGGTGGCCGGTGGACCAGTGTAAACAGACTGATAGCAGCATTACAGTTATTCTCCATTGGTTTGGCTCATTTCTCGAAACAGAAATTACATTCTCAAAACTCTAAGATCATTTGGTAAAACAGTCTTACAGTTCAGCACAAAACCATAGCTCACTTGAAAAAGCACATATCTCTCCCAAAACAGTTCACTCGTGTCAAAACTAAATTCCTTTCCCATATAAATAGTCAGTACGTCCAAAATGCATCGTCCCTTTGGCATTGTGTGAGCACTGCAAGTCAAAATGTTTAGATGTTTTGTCACTATGGCAGAGGACCATTGTAATGTCCCTCATGTCCACCTCTCAGTCTTAGCCCAGTCCTTCATTCACAATGGTTACTGTACTAGTTTTTTTTGTCTAGCTAACAGAATACAATTGTGTATAAAACTGAAAAAAACTACAAAAAAAAAAACAGGATTTTAATGTAAGAGTAGCCTCTAAGGTTTGACATCACACATTGCACTCACACTGCCAAGGAAAGGTAGCCATTTTTATTCACACACATAAAGTAACCTCCATGTCAGATTGAAGACAAAATGTATAAAGCATAATATACTGTTATATAAACACATAAACAAAACAAGGAAAATGATATGTAGCCTACAGTGCTGTAAATAAATACAGTATATGGTATTCATGGTATTATGTTGATATGATTATGTTGACTAATTTTGACAATTGAACAGACTATTTTGCATGTGATGACTTATAGAATGAAATGATGCTGACATGTTTTGGAGAGAACAACCATTAGATTGAGAATCAATCTATCAGTTTACATCAACAAGATCTACTTGGAAACTGTGCTAACTGTAGGCTAACTGTGCTAACTGTAGGTTAACTTAGCTAAATGTAGGCTAACTGTGCTAACTGTACTTAATCATTTGCAAAGATGTACTAAGACATTTGCAATGTGATGAAATCAATGAGAAATACAATTCTGTTGTGAACAATTGCCAAGTGGTCTGGAGGTTTGTCCATGTTGTTTTGAGAATGTAATTTCTGTTTCAAGAAATGAGCCAAACCAATGGAGAACATCTGTAAGATAGGGCCCGTTTCTGTGATGACAGGGTCACGGATGGAATCAAGGAACTGAGAATTAAAAAAAAACTACAACACAGAGTCCACAGGGGGCCCACATTAAGCCAAATTCCAAGAGCTAACTGGAGAATTTAAAATATGGCCACATAATGCATTGTTATAAATGTCATTTACTCAACACACATTTTAAAAAACCATCAGTTCAAGAAGTCTTATAGAGAATCAGACAATGTGCATTCTTGAATGCTGTGTTTTCAACAGCAACAAAAGAAATTGAATTAAAATAAAACAATATCAAAGCTTAAGCCATAGCTGTTGAAAAGGTCTGAGACACATTTACTGCTCCGTGGAATACATTGCAGCTCATTCATGTCTCTAAAATGAGCTAGCCTAAATGTATCTAGCCTTCACAAAATTCAGGAAATCTGCTTTGCACAGATAGATAGACTTTATTAATCCCTGGAGGGAAATTGGGTAGCAGATGACTGCATTATCTATTTTTATTGTATCATAATATACACTAATATACAGTGTATCATAATATACACTAAAGCTACATTCACAGTTTATAATGCTCACCCAGCTCTGTTCTTCTTAGCTGATCATCACACTGGTCTCTCTCTTTCCCTCTCAACTAGCTGCTAGCATTAGCCGCTAGCCTACTCAATAGCATAGCCTACTTCTGTCCTTAACTTGCAAGCTGAAGTTTAAAAGGCATTTTCAAGAAAGCATTTTTACAAATGATCCCAGATGCTTACCCCGGCGGGGAGTCAACTTAAACCTGGCGGAAACCCTGATATGCAATGCTAACCCAACTTTTAACTTTACTTGCTAGCTTTGAAAAGCTATTCCCACAAGACGTAGTGAGGTAGCTCCTTAAACATGCAATAGGCATCTCTACTTAATAATAGAACTAAGAAGAGGGCAGTTGATTGTTTTCTCCACCCATGAGGGCAATTTAGTGTATTTTGCCAACCAGGAGGGCACTTTAACACGCGTTTTTGCCTCCCAATAGGACACTTTAGCAAGTTTTGGCTCCCAAGAGGGCACTTTAGCGCGCGCGGATCGGTGCCTGGACTTCAGTACTTGCCGATACCGATGCCAGCATTTTCGGCAGTATCGGAGGCATTCCCGATACTGGTATCGGAATCGGAACAACTCTAATTTTAATTATACAATTCTAAATAAACTTCTTAACTGAGAGAAGTTGTTTGTCTTATGTCCTGAAGATCATTTTGATACACGACAAGATCCTCCTAAATGTTACACACTGGACCTTTAACTAAAGTTAAACAAACATTTAGAACACTAATTTGTTCCAATTCATACATGAGCTAGAGCAGGTGAGTGTGTGATTTTTCACACGCAGTGGGACAGTGTGTATGCTTTCATTTGCTTTGTCTTGCCCTGTGTGTGTGCAGTCTGAGTTTGAACAGGAGAAGAGAGGGGAGCAGTTGGCTGTAGGCTTCGCACCCAATCAGGAGTTAGAAACGGCATTGGTATTTTCTGTGCTACTGTCCCTATTCGCTGAACAAAACCCAAACTCACCCTCAACATCCTACAGTATGCCAACAGTTTTTTCTTTTTTACAACAAGAATGATGATTGAGAGCGCGTTTTAACAGATACAACTACATTTAAATGGGCTTGCTCCCACATACATTTCTGATTTATTATCCTTGTATGTGCTCCCTTGACCCCTGAGATCCACGGATGTAGTCCTGCTGTTTATTCCCAGGTCTTAAAACTTTTATTGTGCAAGCTTTTGGGAATATTTGATATGTTTCTATTTGTAGTGTTTGTATTCCTCTTCATTGTTTCTACTCATTCTATTGTTTTATTGCTTCTGTGCTCATGCTCCTTATTGTCATTTATCTTGTTGTTTGGTTTTTATTTTTCCTACAGCACTTTGTAACATTGATAAGAAAAGTGCTCTAGAAAGAAAGTGTATTATTATCTGACTTTCCTAAAGCACGGAGAGGAAGTATTTGCAATCGTCCCCGTTCCTCCACACCCCTTTCGAAACCTCCACCAATCAGAGCTCACGTTGAACGTCATAAAAACGCCCCCTCCCCCCCCCCCCGCTCACAGAATGAGGGGAAGGAAAAGAAAGTTTCCGTCGGCTGGACCAAGTGGAGCTCAGCACATGAGGACTGCGAAATCAGTGGGAATTGAGGAAAAAGGAGAATCTTCTGCTTTTCCACGTCGGACACATGGACGCTTACAGATAACGACCATTCCGACCGGATATCTTTGTGTTGACGTTCGCCCGCAGTGGAGTTTTACACGGTGAAAACTCACCGCCGTGTAACATCAGAGGACCTTTCCAACAGTTCAGAGCTTTGGGAGCGTTGATAAATGCATTAAAGAAGGTGGAATGTAAGGTAAGTGATGTTGAGCGTTAGAGGACACTGCGACGTTTTATTTACTGTGTATGTTTTCTACCAACGTTTTATACTTTAGTGTAAATGTAACAAATGGTAAAACTCAATAAGATAGCGCGCTGTTTGATGTGACGCATTTTGAGTTATGCTACTAGAACAGCATTATAATGTTAACTCTTGCGTTGTCAGCGGTGCCAATGGCTGGACTGGATTTTGAAACCGACGCTAGCGTCCTCAATGAAATGAAAGTAGGAAAAAAAACCAAAACGTTTTCGGTGAAATGAAACTTACGCCATCACGACGCTCATGGGCATCCATATTTTAGCCCTTTGTCGACCTGACCGAACAACGTACAGAGCGGCTATTTTTATTTTCTCTAACTGGTCCACGGTGTTGGTCCAAAATGTATTAACGTTATGCATTAGCAATAACTAAAACTTGAGCTCGAGCAAGCTGCTCTCCATCTGTCTCGTAAATCCCCGCCCGAGTTGCTCTGCCGCGAGAACGTGACGTAATGGTGCGTTCGTTTTGTCCACCCGACTCGATTTCCTGAGTTACGAACCGGAAGTTGCAAATAGAACGCTCCCGAGGACATATAAAACGACTCGTTAAGTCAATTGCCTGGCTTGTACCACTTCTAGCGTTCCAGTTGTCTTTGGGCATTAGAGTCTGAAAGAAGTGCAGCAGCTGTGTTGTTATTGTTTGTGGCTCTTCTAAACAAGCTCAATGTGAAATAATAATGTTTTCAACAGAACACTAACATTTCAAGTAATTCCGTTATTGCAAGTCTTACATTTCAATAATATTTTGCCATTTTCGCCTATTTCAGTTTCAACAGGTGCTGTGGCGTTTGTCTCGAGCCACCAGGGGCAGTGGCAGGCTAGTGTTATTGTTAGCTACATTAGCCTATTTAGCAAACCAGCTCGAAAACAAAACTTTACTTTGTATTGCACGCACAACAACACCGTACAATACTTCAATTGGTGACCGGACTAAAGCAGCAATGCAAACAAGCGTGTAGAAGCATTAAACGACCAACATAGTACAAATACAAAGAAAATACATCTCAATAGTGTCTTTGTTTTGCGGGTCGTACGTGCCCCCCAGTACAGCTCGGGGTACCCTGAGGCACCCCGAGCTGGACGGCTGAAATTCCGACCAAAAGGGGGTGTGTCTCTGTGAAATCACGCAGAATTTCGTAGTAGTTTAATGAATGAGTAGCCTTTTCTCTCCTCGGTTTCTGGCCTTTGTTTATTTCTCTTTTTTTCTTTTTTTTCTCTCTCTCTCTCACACCCCAACTGGTCGAGGCAGACGACCACCCACCTAGAGACGAAGGATCTGTCCTAGGTTTCTGCCTTTTAACAGGCAGTTTTTCCTTGCCCCCATCGCCAAGGTCTTGCTCATGGTGGTACTGTTCGGTCTCTGTAAATGTTATAAAGAGTTCGGTCTAGACCTGCTCTATTTGAAAAGTGTCCTGAGATAACTTCTGTTATGAATTGGCGCTATACAAATAAAATTGAATTGAATAGTATCAGTCTTTCATAATGACTAAAGTAATCGTACTATAATAAGTAAAGCAAGTCAATGCAATCATTAATTCTTGGAGAATCCTGACATAAGAATGAGAAGAAAGGCAATGGTGTTAGTTCACTGTGAGCGGGAAGCTAGTTTTGATATAATTACATACTATTAATACCCGTAGCCCTTTTCCATACATACACGTGCTGGCTTTGTTTGATTTAGCGCATGAGATTTGTATTGCCTTTGCATCAGGGCTGAATGCTTGGAGATGTGCCTTTTACTTTTGTGTGCTTTGTATATAAGATTGCGGTAAAAAGCTGACGAATGTAACTGCTGTCCAGTACAGCTACTGCTTACTCCCGTCTCTCAAAACAAATTGAAATTCCACATTGATCTCACATCCATTGCAGAATAAAAGAAACCATAAAGCTGCAGTAGGTAACTTGAACATACACAAAGCACCTATACCTTCCCACCAAACCCACAGCAGAGCAGAAGGAGTTGGTTGCCTGCAACATCTAATGCGTTAGAGGGCTCGCTTGAACCTCGCCAAGGCCCTGGTCCAGGTGACTCCTTCTCTATGACACCCCTCCAGTGCATTGTGACCCAAGGACAAAGTGCACCAGAGGAAGATACAGAGTGTGACTTATCTAAGAGCAGCGTGGAGGATGGTCTGGACATCTTCTTGACGACATCCACAAAACTCTTCTTTGGATTGATGGGAAAGAAACAGCAGCTACTCTGGGAGCAGAACTCCATATTATTGGACTGTCATACTGACCTCTAATAACACGGGGAAACAAATTCTTTAGTAGCCTACACTCTCTCAAAAAGATGATGTTGTCATTCTTCTTGACACTCAACAATACAAGCGCGATGGAATCAAACACAGTGCACCGTATGTACAAGCATGCTGCTGAGACGCATTATTATATTACTCAGACCAGTTTGCTGAGGTATTATAGTTTTACAGACTCTCACCCAAAGCAGATGTAATGGAGGAGGGCTGCCCTCCCCTGATCAGAGGGCATTCACAACATGTGTTTTAAAAAAAGAAATGTGACAGTCATCTGTCTCAGCATTTGTCTAAAAATTGACAGGATTATTTTAAAACAGTAGAGGGCGTGTTGAGCCATTTTTAACCCACAAATTGCAGATTTTCATGAATGTGGTCACCAGCATTGAGGTGTTTCAACACTGTATAGACATATATAATTCAATTTACAGCTCAAAAAACACATTTTAGGGTGGTGTCCCTCTTTAAATTCCACTCAAGTCAAGATGACGAAAAAACAGCCTTTTGCCATATTCACACCAAATCGGGGGTTGTGGACATTAGAACAGGGTTGTGGCTGTGTAAATGGTGTGAAACAAGTAAGGTTTATTTTTGTGGAGAGTAAGTAGATGTGTACAAACACAGTGAACTAATGTTGGGAGAGCAGGCAGTTTCAGTTTCAGTTTCTGTTAAAACAATGACTGAGGTTCTTGTGCTTAAATTAAAGGGTTCTTTAACCTGGGACCTGCTTGGGTTTAGTTGCTTTTGTTGCCTCTATCAACGCAATAAACTCTTTAACACCAGATTCTGCCTGACTCATGATTATTTTTCTGAACTCCGAATGAATCTGCAGAGGAGCTTTTTGCCAAAGATTTGTTGCTCTAACACAACCACTAATTTTCCCTTTTTTTCATTTGTTTTCTAGACCAGGCAAGCGCTTAACTGAAGTCATCACTTATATGCAATGCAATCTGGATTTCCACACAGCCAAGGAGGGGCATATCCTGCGGTCCAACACTGGCGTGCTCTTACATCATTTCAAGACAACAATGTTACACCTGTACCACTGGTTCACCCTGCAAATGGAATACAAAATAACGTGGTAGCCACTCAATATCCTGGGGAGCTCAGAGTGTCTTACAATCCAGCTCAGTGGCAGCAAGACAATACACAATCGCAACAACATTTCCAAGGACTCTACCACCAACTGGAGTCACAAGCAAGCAATGCTTTCCGTTATTCATCAGCACATGCCTCTGCCCAACACGGCGATTCTTTTGGTACATCTGCTAATGAGAACTCTGTAAGGCAGTCTGTTTATAACACCAGACAGCAAAGGGAATGTTCCAAACAAAAAGGGTCAAATTGGAACACAAGTAACTGTTCTGCAGCACTTCAGGGAGACACATTTGGACACCGAGCACAGACTTTACAGGATCAGTTGTCTTCTGTGCCCGAGAGTCACCCATTGTTGTATGCTTTACTGAAAGGAAACTGTGAGAGTGAGCAAGTGAAAAGTTCACTAGCTGCTATAAACTGTGGAAAGACTAGTACAAAAAACCTGGATTATTCAGGAGGAACCCATTCTGTTCCCTGTCAGCAGCAGGTCTCGTCCCCACCTTCACAGACATCCACAGAAAACATCTCACCAGCAGGAGAAATGGTACCATCTACAAATGATCCAATAAACAATATCATTTTAGAAAAGGTGTTATATTTTAGGGGCATTTTACAAAACAGAAATTATGGGCACAAATGCAATAAGGGATGCAGTGTTGCCTCTGACAAAGAAGATGTGAAGAGGCAAAGCCTTAACTGTGCTGGGTTTGAACAGTCCACTGCTGCAGTTGGACAAGCACCTGAAGAGGAAAGTTCAAGGAGCAGCAAAGAAAATACTGAGTTAACTTCTACATCTGAAGACACAGGTAATTGTGCTACATCTGCACCAGAGAAACATTTACCAGGTACACTAACCTCTCCTGCAGGAAACTCAAAACATTCTCTTGAAACTGAATCTTTTGGAAAGAATGCATTGGTAGATTTGGATTTGCCAGTAAAAAAACACTTGGATATAACTATGCCTGCAAATGGTGATGGCAAGCTTGTTTATTCAGGTGACTATGAAGATGAAACATTTGTCAGTAGCAATGATGAAAGTAAATGGTGTGATAAGTACTTAGAGAATGGCATGACAACTCTTCATTATTCATTAACTGCATTGAAGGAGCTGATTGCTAGTCTGGAGAATGTAGAGACCATTGCAGAGATGGATAACCTTCCTAAAGTTATACTGCAACAATATTGGAATGGGGATATAGATAACATTAATCTCTTTACATTCACAGAATATCCACAAATTATGGTGAAAGTTGCTGCCACTTGCGCAAAGAATGAAGATGAGAGTCCAGTGGTTCTCACCACAGTGCCTGGAGTTACCTTTGATGAACTGACTGAGAAGCACCCAAGTTCAACGCGCAACAGCGGATCATCACAAGAAGAAAATAAGTCTCTCAGGTTAAATATTAACAAGAATTTGGATGACCAAATGGCCGGTGTTTCTTGGGCTCTGAAACCCATGACGGAGAGGGAGAAAGGAGGCCTAAAACCAGTGGAGACAGTAGGGTTGGACAATGTGCAAGGTGTGACAGATGTCTCCGATCTTCAAACCATGTCATGTTCAGGGGTATTTGAAAACGAAACATTTGAACACACATCATTCACTGAAACAGATGCATATAAGAAAAGGATGAAAGAAGTTGAAGACCAACAGCACTGTGAAGTTATCTGTAAGGAAGTAATTAAACATTCCAAGCTAAATTCATCAATTGACAATATTCGGATTGATAATGTTCTGTCAATTCCCGGAACAAGTCATGGAGGTGCGAGAGAGGATGCAGGCTCTGTGCATATACTAACTGATGTAAGCATAGCACTTTCTGAAAACAAAGTTGAAGAACACTCATGTCCATCTAAAAGTGAGGGCGAGGAAGCACTCTCTGTGATAAATCTACAATATGAAGAAATTTCAGATGATGAAGGCATATCTCAACTGGCCACAGAACTTCCAAAAACAGAGCACAAGGAATTAAGCTTTCAAGTAAGTTTTGGAAATCCACAGTATGAAGATATAAGTGAAGATGACAATACACAGACTGAAAATATGGCCATGGAGGTGTCTTCATTTACAGTACATGAACCAAACAATAAGCAGGCCCCATTTGAAAATGAAAGCTATGGACATATGCAAGGTCAGGCTCAGATGCAGACAGAAATCATCTCAGATGAGGAACTGATTCCAAAGAAGGTGGTTTCACCAGTGACCGAAACACTTGATATAGCGCATTGCCCTAGTCCATGTTCTGATGACTGGATGGTTATACCTATAAGCATGGCTGACCTTAAATTTGAACCAGAAGATGAAGACCTGGGTGGCCCAGAAGAAGTTGTGCTAAATGATGGCGGTGAAACAGTAAAGAAAGAAACACAGTGTGTCACAAGTCCAACACGCTGTGAGTTACAATGGCCAGCTCTAGAGGCCTTTGACACCGTTGCTAGCTTTCTACAACAAAAAGGTGTACAATTTAAAACATTAGCGGTAGTACCTGCCACAAGCGCACCAGAAAATGACCCGGACTGTGAGAAAGAACCACATACGCCTCAGGACAGAAGAGCGTCATACCCTGAGTCTGAAGACAGCTGTGAAACTGAGGACAGCTGTGATTACTCATCTGACTCAGAACACAACATTTTGACTGTGTCCACGCAGAGGCCAGTACCTCCCCAGCCTAATGAAAGTTGTGATACAGAGAACAGTTGTGATTACCCAGCTTCTCTGTCCCCACCTCTGTCTGTTGAGTCTGTGTCTGAGGATGATGATGAGGATGATGATACAGATGTGCAAAAAGGCCAAACCAGGTTCAAGCAGGTTCAACATAAAAAGAATGGACAAATTATAGACACAATAATCATTGATTCTGACACAGAGGATGAAAGTGACGAACACTATAAAAAGAAGGCAAAAGCAAAGAGGTTATTTACTTCAGGCTCAGATGACAGTGAAGATGTACCATTTAGTCAACAAAATAGACATTCACCTCAAACTGTGGACAGTCCGTGTGGAACTGTGGGTGAAGTAGTGATGCAGGATGAATGCTCTGAGAGTGTTCAACATAACGGACAAATTTCTAAAAACGAAGATGTAATAAACCTTGTCTCTGACACAGAGGATGACGAGGACAAAAACGTCTCCCCATGTGTTCAACAAAAGAGACAATCACCTCAAGCTATGGAAGAGTATGGAACGTTCAGAGGAACCAGACTGTTCTTTGCAGACTCCTCACTGACACAGCATCAGTCTAAACTGGTGTCAGAAGAAAGAAAGAAGGCAAACCCAAAGATAATACGCTCATCAGGATCAAAGGACAGTGATGCTACAAAAATCAGACCTCCAGCTGAAACTGTGGACCGTCTTTGTGGAATTGCCAAGAAAAAACCTAAAACATCCAAACTGTCATCTGAAGATTCACAAAAGATGCATTCCCTTTCTGCAGACAATGAGGCAGAATCCACTTTGGGTCCTACTCCTGTGGTTCCTCGCCTTTTTGTTCTTAAGTCTGCTCAACCTAACAACTTGAAACTTTCAAAAGAATCCAGAGACAACATGCATGGTGATGGTAAAACTCAGGCTCCAAAGACTGGAACCAGCAAAAAGACAGACTTCTGTGAAAACAGTACACAGTATCCCATCATAAAAAAACAAGTAAGATTTGTGTTCAAACCAAAACCTCCAAATGACAGACACCGTGCAACAAAGAATATAGTGCAGACCAATGTAGCAAAACCCATACTGGTTTCAAGACCACAATCATTACCTGACCAGGAAGGCCCATCAACCTCCAGCGGTTGCTCATCTTCCACTAGCGGACAACATTCTGAAGCCAGACAAAGCCCCTCCTCGTCTAGAGCCTTGTCTCAGTCTGGAAAAACCTCCGCCTCCTCCAGTCTTCCAAGACAACAGTTGTCCTCATCCAAACTGCAGCGGTCGAACAGCAACCCTTCAACATTAGATCATCATAACACTCCCACCGAAGGTCCTTCATTTTCTGCAACCAGGCAGTCTTCAGCAAAGAAACAAGTGAAGAAAGCCTGGGAGAGTAGCCATGTCCCAACAAGGATATACAGAAAAAGTTACCCGGGGACTGAGGAAGACTCGGGAACCCCAAAATATAATTTGGTCAATGATGCAAGACTGGGACATATTCATGACTGGGTACCCAGACGGAGGCACGGCTCCAATGAGTCTACACCCCACCTGTTGAAGAAGTCAAAGTCTGATGCCATACAGTGGACAAGGGCCACAAATCGAGACACGGCAAACAAACAAAGTGTGTTCTTTTGAAGTCTCTATAATGTCTTTTTAATTGTCTTTAATAAATTTTAATCCTAGTCAAATTAGAAGTTATTGTGTCTAATCTGAGTTCATGTTCTTAACCCTCATTCTTACCATAGGATCGTCTGCTGTGAGCAAAGGTTACAAGTGGTCAGAGAAGCCAACAGTGGCTAAACCAACAAGAAGGTGATACTTAACATAATTTCATAACATATATGCACTGTGCAGTTTCACCAGGTTTTGTTTTCTGACATTCTTTGTTCTCTGCCATTCTTTGTTGTAGGTACCGGAGGTAAGGCAAGAAATGTAGAACTTCACAGAGACCCCCATCTGTGGAAAAAAGGTGCCACTGTTGAACTCCCACAGGGTCAGGTGGTTGAGGGGCTGTTGTAGCTGATTGTGTCTTTCATTTTCCAGAGCATTTGGATTTGGGTGTAGTACAATGACATACTACGTTGTACCTAATATCAGTGACTACCTGTACTGTACCTGTATTATACCTAGACTATATTGTACCTATATTATAAAAACTGAATAGTCTGTATTTTAAGTAACTACTTACTGTATATGTAGATACACATACTGTAAATACTATATATTATATCTTTTTGCAGTTATGTTATTGTGTGTGAATGTTGCGGCGTCAACTGAAAACCAATATTCTTTTTATCAGCTACCTCAAATTGTGTGAAGATTACAGCATTATGCTGTTGCATTTTTTTCTTTGAATTCTGTATAAACTTATAGATATTTTAATGCTATTTTTTTTATTATTCACATTCCTTACCCATTTCAAGTGTTTCAACTGTTTTTGTACTTTGAAAACTCCGCTTTGATTGCTACTACTATTTCCTATGGGCAATGTTGTGTTCGTTTTTATAAAGTTAATGTCACAATGCATAGTCTAATGGATTTATTGTTGTCCACTTTGTGTATACTTCTGATTCACCACTAGAGGGAGACATTGCTATATACATTGCACCTACAGTTGCTCTCCATTTTAAGTGATGCAAACCAATGCCTGTGTTAAACCCTTATATAAACTGTCAATGGTTAAACCATTATATTGTGACTGGTCAGATTCATCATCAGTCATCTGAACAGGAACAGCAGTGGCAGCTATATTGAAATTCTCATCATGTTATATTGGCAGCTTTAAAATTGCGTCTCCATCGTATTGTCATACATTTCAGCAGTTGTGATAGCCGAAGCTGGTGTTGATCAGTGGAGCCATATCTGTCAATATTTAGTCAATCCTTCAATCTTTTTCTTAAAAGTTGACCATTCATTGCATTGCATCATAAAATGGATCTGTTGGATTTTTGTGTAATGGCTGTAATATATGAAACTATTGGGTTTATATCCATGTCTGTAAGTATGCACTTGTTTTGCACAGAATAAGAAGTAAAAAGTTGAAATTTCAGTCACCTATGTCAACCCTGAATTTAATTTGTACATTAGAATGACCTAGATGTTTCCTAAAGGTGTGGGGGTCTCACCCCAAATTTAGCATTAATGAATGGATAAATTAATAGATCATAATATAGTAAATTAATATTATATTCTACTTCTGACAATAGATCCTCCTAAATGTTACACACTGGACCTTTTAAGGTATACATTAATGGGTAATGTTTATGCAGTTTGGGACATTTTCAAGGGGTTTAGACCCTAAAAGCCTCCTAAACCTTGCAGAAAACCTGTTAAAGGTGAAATACATGATACGTGTAGACTATCCTCTTCAAGTCAAATTACAAATAGCTCAATTACATCATTTTAAGGTAACAAAATAAGGGATTTGGCTCCATAGTAAAAAGGATAATAGAAAGGTGAAGGTTAACGTTACTCAAACTCTATCTGTTGACAATGTGAATGAAACGTGTTTTGACCCCTGAAGGCAAATTCATCTTCACTGAGTTTACCCATCTTTTCCTTTATGATTTAAATTTTCATTACAATGTCTTGCAAAGCTGATTTATGAAATATGAAGAATAATAGGAGAATGAAAGAGGGAACTGTGAGGTTTAGAAGACCAGAGGTCATCCAGGCACATCTTAGGAGAACAAGAGTTAAGGGGACTTCCACCAAACAGGTAATGCACAATTCAATATTGAATAAGTAAATACAAACAAAATGAACTGAAACCAAAGTGAATAGACACAACACAAACACAAATATAGGTTTTTATAAAAACTTACCAGCAGTCACTGACAACAGAATTCCTACTGTATCTGACTTCTTGGTCAGTATTCTTTTTAGTAGGGGTCAGAGGTCATAAATAACCTAAAGCTAGGTACTGTTGAGCATTTTAGTGCTGTGGGTGATGGCCAACCCACAAGCTGATCTCCTTTCATTGACTGTAGGACTGCAGTCTCTGTACCACTACTGTAATTACCATAATGGTTAGCTCTTTTTATGATCATTGGGCTCCACCTGCTGTGTTCATACTAGGCAGCTGCAATACTGTTGAATTCCTGGATTTTGTGCCACCTTTTTCAAATTTTAGGGAACTTTTGTGTTCCCTTCATTCTTCAGACAGTTTACTTATCAGTTCACCTTTATCCATTATGTGCATTAACCCATTCTAATTCCATATCCTCACTGGTGTGGTCTTTGTTAGTAAAAATAGAGTTTAAATAAAAGCAAGACTAAAAACTAAATACAGTAGATTAAAAAGACATCTACACAATTACAATTACACCTGAGGACAAGATAAAAAACGAACAAGTAAATAAATTTCACAGGGATTAGAAAAAAAATGAAAATAATAAAATAACATCAAACAGAAATCAAATAGGGGAATAAAATAAAGTAAATATTGTCTATAAACCATTCTAGTCAAAAGCCAGACTGAAGAGGTAGGTTTTAAGTTAGTTTAGTTTCAACTCTTCCTGCTCTCAGATCTTCCGGCAGACTGTTCCAGCAGCTCAGAGCATAAAAGCTAAAAGGTTTTACCAGACCTGTGACAGATTTTTAAACTCAATATGGAAACTGACAGGCAACCAATGTAAGGACTTTAGAGCAAAAAGTGTGTTCTCTGTAAGCACTCGGGTTGCAGAGTTCTCAATCAGCTGCAGCTTTTATGGGTAGACCAGACTGGAGAACATTCCTGCCTGCCTGGTATAAAAGCATGCATTCGTTTCTCTGTCACTCTGAGACAGAAATGGTTGCAATTTAGTAATACTTTTAAGTCTATAGAAAGCAGGTTTAGTGATAAACACACCATGTGCTTTAAAGTTCAGTTCTGAGATACAGACCGCACCAAGCTTTCTGGCTTGTTTGCTTAATTTAAGTCCAAGTGAATTTGATTATGTGACCAGTTTCTCTCTCTGAGCATTGATGTCAAAGTCCTTTGCTATTACTACCCAGTGCTGGGACACATTTACAACAGCAGGTGGCATAGTTGTCCCATTTAGCGGGATACAACCTCAACCTTTCCAACTGTGAATGTGTCCAGGTCACTCACTGTCCCTCAGGTTGTGGCTTGTTAATACATAAATGTGGTCATTTAGCTTGTTGAAATCTGGGATTACAAAGTTTATTCTGTTAAAATAAATGTTCCTTATATTATCCAATGTTTTACAGTGTCGGAGGAGGTGCATCTATGTCTCAACCTCACCTGTCCACATATTCATATTCATTTTCTTTTGGTTGCCATGGTTTTTTGTGTCTTCCTTTTTTAATTTCCAGTTTGTGGTCACTGAGCCTGAACTTGGTTTGGATCTGCTTTCTATCTCTGACAGTAGAGAGATATTCTGCCAATTCACAATCTCTTTCTATGAGCAAATAACATTCAAATCTACTTTAGGTTTCAGTTTCTTCTTTCCAATGTTCCATAAAGGTTTCTTTACATTGTCTTATAATTTTGTTTACTCTGATTGTGTATTTGAAAGCAGTGTTGTTGTGTGACTGGTCAGTGTGTCTGAGAGGGAGCAGTTGACATAGAGCAGTGGTTCCCAACCTGGAGGTCAGGACCCCCACCAGGGGTCACCAAAGCTTCATGGTGCGTTGCAAGGCCATGCTCATTTTAAACTTAAGAGAACTTAACGTCGGCCTTAGAATTGTATGCAGCACTAATAGAACAATGGCCAAATAGAAAATACATAAATATAATGTTGGTATTCTGCATGTAAAGATTCAGTTGGATGTTCTATAATGTCATTCTTGTTTAGTAATTCAACCGGTAATAATCTTGAACTGGCAGGTAACTGGCAACTGGTAATGAGTTTGTCTTTCATTGACGTTGGACTGTATTTAATAGCACAGCAGTCAGATAATACAGAATGGCTACGCTCCTTCAGCACTGTAGCTGCGTGATGACGTTGGTCAGCGCATTAATATGTGTATAATGCGGCCGCACGTGAGTTTATTGCGATATGAGGCTCGAGCTACTCTCTCTGTCATGGCCAAATGACGACTTTCTCTTACAATATTACAAAGAAAACAACCAACCGCGGCCCTCTGTCCCAGTGTGAACGGACTGAATGGAGTGAACTAAAGACTAGATTTGAATATCCCGCCCTGCCAGCGGACTCCTCCGAGCTCCGCCGAGGCGGAGAGTCACACCGCTCTCCCCTCCTGCACAGTCAGTAGTGCGTCTGGAAGCTCCGCTGACACGGTTCTCCGAAAGCGAACTATCACGGGAACACTTAAAGGCAACTTCGGTGTGTCACACAGCTTCGTTTTACACCCAGGAACCGAGGCAGAAGTGTTTTCCTTTCCACGAGCGTTTTATCCATTTCCCCCCCTTTTTTTCCTGGACATGTGTCGCTTGTGGAACTAGGAGCGGACAGCGCTGCACACCGAAGCCGGGATGAGTGGGAGCTCCGCGGTGTCCGGCACGGCGCCCTGCCGCTTCGCCCACTACTTTGTTATTTGTGGGATAGACACAGAAACTGGACTGGAACCGGACGAATTAGCAGGTATGAGCTTTCTCTGTGGCGTCTTGTTGGTTTTGAAAATCTTTAGGTGGTTTAAGAACAATAACAACAATAACACAACAGTCCTCAAGCTCAACGCGATTTAGTTATACTGGAATATCAGACTACTTAACATATCCTTCCACCACTCTTATTAATACATACATGTTCTATTCATATATAGGCTGCATTATGATATAAAACCACAAAATATAACATGGTCAGCAACCTAAACTGACAAAGCTGTCAGTCCTTTTATAAAGCTCCAGTAGGTCATTTTTATGAAATAATTAGTTGTCATATTTTGTCTCATTCCCAGAGCGTCAAATACAGACATTTTGAGAATGCGACTCGGCAATCAACCCAAAGCGTTTTTATATCTTTCTTAGCTCGGATTGGTTGTTTTCGTTCAGGCCAGTTAGATTCTTGCAAATCCCATTAGGAGCACTAAAATGAGCCAGAGGAACCTGATTTGTTCACAGATTATCTGTACTGCTGTCAGGACACAGTGGAGATTTCAGCAAATATGAGATAAAGTTATTTTTCTAAAAGTTAACCTACTGCAGCTTTAAACTCATCACCATGAGTGGCAAATGCACAATATAAGCCCCAATACCTCATTAATGGCTCATGGTTTCCTTTACAGAGTTAGATATACAGTAAATAAGCGCAGAATGTAAATAAAAACTGCAGGATTAAGGTTTATAGCAGCATTAGGGTATGGTTTGACATTCTTAACATTTCTGGAGTCTCAGCAGCCTCTGCCAACCTTAAATGCAACCTGTTCATTTAAGGTGGATGATGAGCTCCTTGTGTGTGGTTAACAGAGTGAAAGATCACCAGTATGTTTTCTGAATGTTATAATCTGATTTAAGCTTCCTGTGCTCAGCTGCGTCGCTCTGCAAATGAGATTTTGTCTCCCCTGTAATTCTGTGAGTTTTTCTGGTGAAATAAGTAAAAGCAGAGCTGCATTTAAGGCTGACACAAGTGTGGTTAAAGGTGGTGATGCTGCCTCCACAGCAATGTTTTTGTTCACAGTAGGCCGGCAGGTCCAGGTCCAGGGGATGAAGAGTTCCTGCTGCGCTTCTGCTTGGACTTTTGATTTATATCGGTATATTTGATAGTGGGATCTAATTTTAGGAAAACGGTCATAGTATAAAGACCACATCACCATAGGCATCAAATCTGAGTTTAAACCTTAATACAGTGTTCTTCAGAATGGAATAAACAAACACTGCGATCTTTTTCAAAATGATGATGTTCCCATCCAATATGGGCCTGGTCATATTATCGCAGGGTGATGTGGTTCTGACAGCGCAGAGGGCTGAGTGCTGTGTTTCTGAGGTATTGCATCACAGCCAAATCTTCTGTCTGTGTAACTCAGGCTCTGGGCCAAAGTTCAGAATAGCAAAGTCTGTGTGTGTGTGTGTGTGTGTGTGTTGAAAGTGAGCTGTGATTACTTGTAGATGACAGGTATCATTCGGCCTGATATAAAGTGGCCTTAAAGGCCAAATAATAAGACGTTTGATTTTAGTGACAGATCTTCCAGAGTTCTTTAATGTCTTTGAGTGTTGGTCACTGCGTGTGGGACGTTGTTTATGTCTCTGGGTGTTCTGTTGGTGTGTCGGTGTGTCGGTGTGTGTGCTGCCCTCAGGCTGTAACTGAGGTGACACTGATAAGCTCTCACCATACTGAGTCCATATGTCCCACTGTCTGCTGCTCTGCTAACACCAATCACTCCAATTTATTGAGCATCTGCTGTGTGTGTGTGTGTGTGTGTGTGTGGTTTATCTATGGGACAAGTTAACAGTCAGTGATTGGGTCAAACTAAGGCTGCAGCCAGCAATTATTTTTGATTATCAATGAATCATCTATAAACTCAAAAATATAGTGAAGTGCCTGTCACAGAGGCCAAGGTGATGCCTTCTTGTGTCCGACCATCAGTCCAAACCCCAAAACATCAACTTATTCACTTTTTAAAATAAATAAATCTGGGATTCCCATACAGACAGCTGAGATATCTGAATTATCCACAAACATACAGTGTGTGAATGATGTCATTGTTGTAGTTGATGAGATCATGTGAAGTGACACATCTTCTGTGTGTTCTCCCCAGACACGATTAGCTGCTCACATAGTTTAAAACATACTAGAGCCCGTAAAATTTGCCCTTCTAAAGTTCCCGATGAGGAGCTTCTCGGAGTCTCTGAGGCTGGCTGTTGACCAAGAGCAGACTTGTCGACCAACTGACAATCAATGGGCATCTATTTTTATAATTGATTAACAGTTTAAGTCCTTTTCTTGCCAGACATTCTCTAGTTCTCTCTTTATTTAATTTAATTTAAATATATATATTTGCCTAGACCAGGTTCTGGTTTGACATAAACACACACAAGCTAACAACCAAGTGTGTTTACTATAAAACAAACAAGAAAACAAAATCTGTTACCAAAATATTTTTTTTCATCCAACTCATTAGCATCACAGGCACATACATCAGTGTGAGTGAATTATGCTTGTGCAATAATTAATCTAAACATCTTTATTGACCTGTGCAGAATGTAGGTAATATATCAGGTATCCGTGGGTCACAGAGGCTCACAGAGGAGCGAGACCATGGATGTTTTAAAGCTGGATACGGCGCTGGCAATATGTGGCCACCTAACAGACCTGATTGCAAGCTGATTGGTTAGATCTAGTTCCTTTTGAAGCATGTAAACCTATACCTTAAAGTCTAAACATGTAAAAAATCAGGTTAACATCTGTGAATGAACCAAGCGCACTTTCATTCACACACGCCCCTATGGGTTTTTATGGGTTTTTTTTTTCTGATTCCATCTTCTCAAGTGTGAATATATTCTGGCGTCTTTAGTCCTCAGTGACAGTAAACTGAAAATGTGGACAAAACAAGACATTTAAAGATGTCACTTATGGCTTTTTTGATACACTGATCAACATTGACCAAACAAATATTAATAGCTACGAACGTTAACAGGAGCGAGGCAGCATCACCAGAGTGTGTTGCACTTGTTGTGAACTGTCAACTGTCAACTGCTGAAAACAGGACAAAAGTATATATCGTAAGCTGAAGAATAAGACCAAAGAACTTACATTTCAGCTTTTGTCTGAAGTGAACATAAATTAAGGATCAGCAGAGCATTATGTACCCCTCCCTCTCATTCTTGCCCGAAGCTGCCCACCCCCATTTCTTTATCATCTGCCTCCGTCTGCCTCCACACTCCTACACTTCATTGGAGATCATTTACAATTCTGATCAGGCCTGTTGCTGTCCTCCCCCACGACGCGCCATCATCCAGACAACACTAATGCTGCCATGATTGATACCAACATGTTGCCTTTGGTGCTCCATAAACCTCTCCGTTTTTTGTCAAGCACATGGCTACACCTCTGCGCCCCCACAGATCCTTGTACCCTGAGTTGGAGGCAGCCATAATTGCAGTGACCCACATTGAGAAGGGTTCTATGCCGTTGCTTATTTTAGGCTGCAGTTCCCCTCCTCCCTGCTCTTTGTGTGGCAGTGTGGCCTTATTTCCCTCAGCCCATTGTTCTAGTCAGAGGGCCAGACTTCCTGTAGACCTGCCTCGGGCTCCTTCATGGTTTACAGTGCCTTCTCTCTCTCTGCCTGTGTGTGTGTGAGTCTACTCTCTACAAGATCATACAGTATTCAACTCCTTTTTTCAACTCATGCTCCGTTATAGATCCTGAGTGCTTTGGTCCCGGCCTGGAATGCCAATTAGCTGGTTTAATTCCTCCCATAAATAGCAACATTGGCAGTCCAGACGCCCACCCCACACCATGCCATTGAGCTTTAGTCGTATAAATACACCTTGGCTGGCGTACAGAACTGGAAATAGTCCCTACATTCTGACACCAGATGGAGTTGGGGTCGGCGGCATTGTGGAGTTGAAAGGTGAGAGGAGCGAAGAGCTCATTTGGGGAGGGAAGTGTTTGGCGTGCCAGTTGTAGACGGAGATATGAGGTCAATGCTGCTACAGCGTGAGATGTGTCTGCCATCTTCTACCCCTGCTGGGGAGGGGACTGTCAGTCAGCCTAGTGGAGCTGCTGGAGGAATGATTGGGCACCTGTTTGCATACCAGACTCAACCAGACTTTATTATTATACCGACGAGCGTGGTGGCTGCAGTCCAACCACGAACCTGGAGGTTTGACACTTGAGCATCATATGTCCATATTGTTGCTGTCCAGTGAAAACCCTGCATTTCCAAATTTGGTCATTTAGAACTTTTGAGATTAACAGAAGGATTATATTTTAGGCAAATCTCCTACTTCTTAAGATAAAAAAAACCCTTTAAAAAACCCAGTGGATTATCTGGAAAATGCATTGTGACAAAGTTAAGCTGTTGTCTTGGCTCACGAAAGGCTGACATTTTGGAGGTGCATGGTTTTCATCCCAATGATGATATGTGTTGTATTGTAATACGACACTTACTAGATATCACATGGGATTTTAGTTATATAGTGATGCAACCTCCTGGTGTATAATCTGCATTATACTGTACATTAGTACAATTTAATTTTTTATTTTTTTCGACTGTTATTAATGTTGTGAGACAGATGGACTCGTGCAAGAAGCCATCTTGTTGTTATAAGGCTTCAATCTATGAGCTTGTGTCCAAACAGTGGATTAGACCAATCAGCGTCCTATGAGGAACTGCTGACATGAGCCGTAGCTACCAGTAGATTTCTTGAAAACCACAATGGCAGCTGCTGAAGAGGTTAGCGTAGAGGCTGCTAGCATCAGTTCTATCACAACTGGAGAGTATTTCTACATTGAAAGAAGAGCAAAGAACGGCACTGATAGCTCCCGACTGGCTACAGTAAGAGACGTTATAACTACATTATATGGTTTGTTCATTTGATTGGTTGGAGTTTGCCGGTGACAGACCGTAATAGACAGGTGTTTCATCCAATCACCTGCCGAGTAATTTTTGAAAGTGCCTGGCACAGTCAGGTTAGAACTGA